TTCAGCTGTGCTTGAAAGGGTCAGTCATTTGAGACTTTTAACATTAAAGATCTTTGCAAATTAGTTTTGCTCTTGCCATACTGAATTTGTTTCTGTAAAAAACCTCGGTGGATTTGGTATGCGTCTGTCTTTGAAGGGGTTTGCTTCAAAGGCTGCTTGCACTTCGTATTTTATATGCTGAGATATTGCCGTCCGTGAAAGTTCATTGCTTTGTGTGGAAGCGTCAGCTATTGACTTAGTTAAAACCTGCAGGAAGGAAAAGCTGAGCTTAGGTTTTCAAAGCTGTCAAGGAAACTGGATGCACAGTATTCATTCCTAATAGGAAGCTAGTGCCTGAAGTCCGGAGGGGACTTGGAAAATGGCTGCTAGCGTACAAGTCCTCCCCCAGCTCTGTAGCACACACATGAGGATGCACTTAAGTCTTCTCATGCACGGGGTTCGTGTAGGCAAGCGGATACGTATGTGTGTAGATGCAGCGGGGGGCATAGCTGGCTTTTTAATTACCCTGGACAAGACTCGCGTGCAAAACCAGAAATGCAGAATTGAGGCGGGTTGGAAGTTTGGCCCGTGGAGTGGCTAGAGCTAGGGAGCCCGTCACCGGGGGCCCTTCGGTTCGTCACGGGGGAGAGAAGCCGGGGTTCAAATTCAGACTTCGCACGACAACCCTCCGTTTGGTCTCCGTGGTCGATACGGCCCTGAATCTCGTTCCCTCCCTGCCCTCGTGCTGCTGTCCTCGGCTGCCGACTGAAGGAGTCAGCTGGTGACTTCCGTGGTGTTTTGAGATTTCGGGATAGTCGGTCACTCAAAACGCAGCTGAGATCTTGGCGGTTGGAAGGCGCCCACCGGAGAAGTAGTTGAACCAAAGCTATTGTTTAGAAAAAGTTATTTTTTCCCAAAAGGAGTTTGGTCTTGAAAGGGAAAGGGTAGGAACCTGTCTAACATGACGCTGTTCTGCATGTTTGTATTAGCTCCGTCACCAAACAGGTTTTGTTTATTGCCTTGCAGGAAGCCTTTTCCTTGGAGCCTGATGCATGCATGCACATCCCAGTATGCTGCCAATTTTAATTGCTCAATTCAAAATACATAAGCAGCCGCGAGAAAAGGCACTAATGGAAGAGCTCTCAGCTGCCGACGAGACGCGCTTTAAGAGCGCCGCGCAGCACTGATGAAGATTTACCTTAACGGGAAGCTCGTTGTCCGCGTTCAACGCGAACGCCGCGTTCCTGGGGAATCCTGTGCGGGCTGCCTTATCTCGCCAAAGCGAACGGGCTGCCCCGAGAGGTTTATAGGATGCGATCAGTTGGGGTTTGAATGAGGACAAACGAAACGACAGCCGGCCGTTCTTGGGCCCTCGAAGATCATCCTGGCTCAGCCGCAGTTTGGCTAGCCATCGGGCCGTCACTCCCTTGCGGAAAACCTTTGTCTCTCTGCTCTTGCCCTCTTGCTCTCTCTCGTCGAGATTTAAACACCATATTATTTTAATCCTGATCCTCTCAGCCCTCGTCTCCCCCTTCCCGCAGGCTCGCTCCCCCCCGTGCAGTTAGGCAGGCTGCGGAAAGCAGGCGATTAGAAGCAGCTGCCTCCGCAAAGGCCTTTCCCCCGGAAGGCAGGAGCAAGCTGCGCGCGGAGCCTGGCCAGGCTGCGGCCGGCACGGAGCAGCGCTCGCTGGCAGCTCGCGTC